ATATACATGCAGGGCTGCTATACTGTAATTCCAAGGGCTTAAATGGTGCTCTAAATTGCTGTTCAGTTTACAGAGGTGAGGTTTTGTCTTGCGTATACTCTCCAGCTTACCATTGCTCAACTCATTCCCTGAGAATGAACTGCATTATTTTTTATTCATTGTAGCACTTTGCCACCAGTTCAGCGATTTCCTTCTTCAACATTCTCAAATGAGCGTTTACTGGTACTGGTAAGTTAATATTGCTCCTACAACTGTGATCCATTCCTGTAACACGGGGGAGTTAAGGCACTCCTAACTTTTAATTTCTCTTAAAATGAGCTTATAACTTCCTACCATCCCCATTTGGATGCTTTTACAACTGACAGTGTTTTAACTTTATTCCTTATAAAGAACAACAAGAGGAGACACATTTTTGGCTTGGAAATTCCATCTAGTTCAATGCCTGGCAATGTCCTCCCATACAGACCTTCATAAATATTCTTTAAATTTGGATTCTTAGAATTTTTTCCCTCTTTTTTAGAATATTATTTTGAACTGGCTGGGTCCCATGGAAAAAGGAAATTTCTTTGAGATCTTAAAGTCCCTGTAGCCAGCTTGTGATGCAGCTGTTCAGGTCAGTGAAAAAACGGTGTGGTTGGTATTTGGCAACAATTTCAACTTTACTCCCATTTTTATCTCTGAATGAATGATGAGGTCATAAATCAAGACAAACCACATCTTTACACTCAAAGAGCAATTCTATATTGCAAAGGCAAAAAAAAAAAGGTAGTGGTTAAAGGTCATGTGGGTTTTATTCTCAGCTTAATAGATGTGTGGCCTTGAGCAAATTACTTTCACCTCTCTGGGCCTCAGTTTCCTCATCTGTAAATGGCGATATTAATAAGCATTAGATAAGATCATACACACACAGAGATTGGTACATAGTACGTGTTTAATAACCATAAATGTCAGCTATATTGCTCTTAGAGTATTGACGTAGAGAACAATTGGCTCCCACATCTCTGCCATTCACCATAATATTTATATACTAAGGTATAGAAGAACTAATATAGGCTCTAGTCACTAAAATGATGCCCCTTTTCCGTGGTTGCTGTCGTAATGGGATGACTGGTCTTTAGAATGAGGAAACCAAACTACCTGTTCAGTAACATTGCTCATTCATTAGGTAAAAATCTCTGACAGTCACACATTTTTGCCTATGGTATCAAACAGTCCTTAAAATAGAAGAGAAAGAAACATTAGACCAAGTCTCTCTTGTGGTAAATGTGTAATGTCACTTTAATTTTATATCAGCTGTCCTTGGAAATCAAACTCACCATACTGAATCCTTGGTCAGTTTGGAGTTCACGTTCCCATCTTCTTCCAGGTAGATGTCCATTTGCAGGTTGGCATCATTATCATGGGCTGAGAAATAATTGGTAACAACTCTTGCTGGTATCCCAAGGCATCGCAAAACTGTAGGAAAGGACAGACCACAACTAAACACATCATCAAAATTTACATCACCAAAATTTACTAAATACATAGAGAGCAATCCCTTCTCATGAGGGACTTTCTTCTCTACCAATGTCAAAAGTTCAGAAATAACAGAAGTAAAACCAATGAATCACTGGAATAATAATTAGTAAAAGTTTATAGTGCACACACCAAAAACAAAACAAAACAAACAAAAACAAAACAAAACAAAAACAAAACAAAACAAAACAAAAACAAACAAACACAAAACAAAACAAAACAAAACAAAACAACCACAAAAAACCAACAGTTTGCAAACCAGAGCACTGAAACCAAGCATGGGGTGAGGCTCAAGGGTGTGTTGCTATAAAGCAGTTTATGTGGTCCAAAAGCAGTGACTGTTTATTCTTCACAGTGATTGGTTGTATTAGAATTTTCTTAACTGACAGGGAATTGGTCAGTGCTTACCATCTATCAACTTTGGGAAACAGTTCAAGTTTTGCCTATGATTTCCTGAGGCATAAGCACGAATGACCCAGGTCAAGTAAGTCTTGCAAAATAAACTAAAGTAAGCTCTATTTGTATGACTAAACTGGTTTGTCTGCCAAGGGAATTTTCAAGGCTGGTCTCTGTTTGCTTTTGATTTTAACACCAATATGAAAAGCCCCTTTGCACATATTATCCTCAAATATTCCATACGGAGAAGAAGGATTATTAGGCATCAGGGCTGCAGAGAAACCATGTTGCACGATTGTTCAGAACTGCAGTTGGGCCAGATCAGGGGTCGGCAAACTGCGGCTCGCGAGCCACATGTGGCTCTTTGGGTACGTACATGTGGCTCTGAAGTAAAACTGAACATGAAACTAAAACTATCATAGTTTCATTTATAAAATTTTAAAGGATATTATTCACATAATTGTTATTTCATTTGTTTTATGAGTCTTGCAAAACGTTGAGGGACAGGACTGGCTCTTCTGTCTCAAAAGTTTGCCTACCCCTGGGCCAGATGAAGCCAACTGGAATAGAAGCCCAGGAACAAGGTTCCTGTTGTTTAGCTGCTGTTAATCATAAGATTATCAAAGTAGTATTATTTTAGTCCAGCTAAGCAGGCTGTTTCTAAAATAAAATATAATAAAATAAAATAACCAGCTAATAGAAAGTTAGGGATTTACAAAGCAGGTTCTCAGTGGGGGTTGCTCTCCTGGCTGGAATTTATTCTGTGAACTTGGTGGAGGGTGACACCACAGATTCATTTTAATTGTTAGATAATAAATTACCTGGATGCATCTCTTGCCATATGTACCTATTGATTAAACTTAATCCACGTGCCCTCCCTGGCTCCCAGGATGCCACATATCAGGGCTCATTGAAAATAATTCAGCTGACAATTTTAAGATTAATGGCTTAGCTTGCCTTTTACTTTCTCAGAATAATTTAGCATTTTTAACCAAAAGCTATTCACCTCCTTCCATAGAACAACCTTGGAAGTCCAAAGTGGAGCCTGATAAGGTGAAGCTTGGCACTGGGGCACCAGTACCTCCTCCCTCCAACTTCCCTCTTGGGGTTTCTTCTCACTGCAATGTCCCACATCATACTTCTGCTTTTTCCTCACTTACCATCAAAGCTTCCATTAGATGTGGTGACGTTTTGTACAAAAGACATAAATGGAATGAAGGTGCTCACTATTTTATCTGGTTCTAAGCCCAAAGGAGTTACACTGGAATAATGAAATTGTGGGCAGCAGGAGGACATGGGGGAGGCAGTGGGTTTTTTCTGTTTTCCTGGAATCATTTCATGACAGTGGCTGTATCCATTGGGTGCCCTCTACTTAGTCTTGGCTTGTAGGGAACCATGAGGGAAGGGGATACCTCCAACCATTAGTTCATTCTGAAGTTCAGGTTTCTTTCTAGAACTTCAAAGACCAGTCCTTCTAGGAGACTGACACATTGGCCATGATAGCTCTGAAGAAATGTGTATTCCTTTAGTCCTTGGGTATACTCAAATGGTTAAGAAAATGATCTTATTCAGTTTGATGCTATGGAGAAACCGAAACACAATGCAAAACTCATGATTTCTTCTCACTTGGATCACTAACTAATTCTTAGACTGTCACAACTTTGAGCTGAAACTGATGGGCTTCACCATTATTTAATAAGTGAATTTATCCTAGCTTCCAGCCTCCAGCCCCTCCTTGATTTTTCTGATTAAAAAAACAGGCTAACTAGGTAAAACATTTTTTATTAATGAGCAAGAAGAAAGGGCACTCCAACTGGAGCTTAATGTTTTCATCAAGGCTGTAGAAATGTCATGTGAATAAAAATCATGAAGACATACTGAATTAAATGTTTTTTTAAAAAATATTCACTAAATTAACAATAACATTGTCCAGGCCTAGATAGGCAAATGTCATTTCAAAACTGATGCATAAAGCTGAAGAAAATAATTCTGTTCCCATATGTTTTCCTCTATGGATTGGATATTAGATGGATTAAAAACCAGAAAACTGGGGAGTAAAGATTATTCATTAAGTTCTGATATCTAATTGCTCAGGGGCATTGAGACTCACATATAAAAATGGAGATAAAAAAATGGAGATAAGACCACCTGCCACAATCATTTCCATAGCTAGGGTAAAAATTAAGTGGATATATTTACAAAACTTCTCAGTGATAAACAATAAGCAAATAAGCATATTTATAAAACTTCTCAATAACAAATAAGCAGCATACGTCTTTTCTTATTATTTATTATTTTTAATTTGGCTAATTTAACCTTTTCAAGATGTGGGGGGGGGTTACTGAAAAATGCAATATTCTTACTCCCACATCCTTACTTGGCCCCAGGAACCCTCCATTTCTCTGGATATAAAATGATGAATTATGTAGGAAATAGTCCATCATTCTTTCTATAAAGATTCTGCAGTCAAAGAGAAACTATGAGTATATTTGGCCCAGAACAATTGAATTATGCATTGACTACATCCCAGAATAGCCACCCATAAATTCTATAGAGCCAACAGGGATTGCTAGGTCTCTTTGCCAGGTTATAGGTATAATGTTGTGAAACGAAATTTCCTTTACATTAAAAAAAATACTACTCAGGCTTCTGGTCAAGATGGCAGAGTAGGCAAAACTGTGCTCGCCTCCTCCCACGACCACATCAAAATTACAACTAAACTACAGAACAACCATTATTGAAAATAGCCTGAAATCTAGCTGAACAGAACTCCTATAATGAAGGACATACAGAAGAAGCCATGTGGAGACTGGTAGGAGGGGCGGAGATGTGGACCTGGCTGGTCCCATACCCACATGTTCCAGTTAAGAATTGGGAGGGCTATTTTGGCTGTGGAGGTCCCCTCTGAGGGACAGAAACAAAATCACAGATACAGAGAACATTCTGATGGTTGCCAGATGGGAAAGGAGTTGAGGGGTAGGTGAAAAGGGGGAAAGGATTAAGAAGTACAAATTGGGATACCTCCATACTGATTTCCATATGACCCAGCAATCCCACCCTTAGGTATTTATCCAAAAAAGCCCAAGACATTAATCCGAAAAAAATATATGCACCCCTATCTTCATTGTGGCGCTATTCACAATAGTTAAGACTTGGAAACAACCGAAATGCCCATCGGTAGATGACTGGATTAAGAAACTATGATACATTTACACAATGGAATATTACTCAACTATAAAGAAGAAGGAAATAGTACCATTTGCAATAATATGGATGGAACTAGAGAACATTACACTAAGTGAAATAAGTCAGTCAGAGAAAGACAAATACCATATGATCTCACTTATATGTGGATTCTAAAAAAATGAATAAATGAGAAATGTAAACAGAAATAGTCTCAGAGACACAGAGGAAAAACTAAGGGTTGCTAGTTGGGAGGGGGTGGGGATGAAGGAGAAGGGGAAGGGATGAGACAATACAAATTGGTAACTACAGTATGGCCTCAGGGACAGAAAAGACAGTCTGGGGAATATAATCAATAATGTTGTAAATATTTTTTAGGGGGCCAGGTGTACTCATGTCTTGTTAGGGAGACCACTTCATAGTTGGTGTAGAGGCCTGACCACCACACTGTATTTCTGAAGCTGATGTTGAATAATATTGTATGTCAACTATAATTATATATACATATAGTCACGGGACATGGAGTAGAGAGTGGGAATGGAATCAATGGAATTGTAATAGATAAGCATGATATCAGGGGTGGGAGGGCAGTAGGTGGAGGGAGGGGGTTGTTACTTTGTGAGGAGTGAAAAGGATAACTATTGCATTTTTCTGTACACCTGAAACTAACAATAAAATTTTTAAAAAATGAAGTACAAATTGGTAGCTACAAAATAGTCATGAGGATGCAAAGTATAGCATAGGGAATATAGTATAATATTGTAATAACTGTATGGTGTCAGATGGGTATTAGATTTATCAGGGTGATTACTTTGTAAGTTATATAAATGTCTAATCATTATATTGCACACCTGAAACTAATATAATATTGTGTGTCGACTGTAATTGAAAAATAAAAAAAATTATTAAAAGAAAAAGTATTTCTCAATTGGATACTTACATGTGTTAAAAACACCAGCAAAGACCCAGCACTGACCATACTGGACTGGATTCTGAGAACTCTGATATTCCAACAGAATGTCAATGCTTCCAGTCCAGGCTGATGGGGGGACACCATAGGCATAGATATTGTCCCAGGATCCAACGAGGACACCATTATCATCTTTGGAATTAACCTAAATGAAATCACAAGTGGTGAGAAAGAAGAAAGGTCATTTAGAAGAGTCCTCTCCAGACTCTGACATTGGTCAAGCTAAGGCTTCCAGTGCCTTCCATATGTCCTACATGATGAAAATAGTTCATTACTGTTGAATTCACTGTTACATTGTCAGAGAAAGTGATGCAATAACTGAACAGGGGAAACCGAATAACCAGACTCTCTCTTAAAGAGCGTATCCTTGTAGTAAGGTGGTGGTGAATAGTAGACAGCAGATGTGCATCTCCACATCCTTAGAAGGCACACATAGGGCACTTGGTCTGGTAGAAATAGTACTGGAGAATGATGTGAGGAAGAGCGGAAGAAGACCTACAGGAAAAGATAGCTCAAGTAGGAACCAAGATGGGATCTTGTTGCAGTGAAAGGAGAATTCAAAACTGACAAATGACAAAAGATGTATAGGTATAGTGGAGTCTCATGTTGTAAGGAGTTTTAGCGCTGATGATGAGTGGAAGATTAATGAATTGAAAAAGTCAACAGATGCTGTCATAAGAACCATAACAAGTTAATAAGAAATTAGAACCCCATGGGTGCCTTACAGAGTTTGTTTAAAAAATGTTTCATTAAAGAAATATTTTCTTTATGACTGCTTAAGGTGATTAAAATTTTATAGCTTTGTTAAGAGACATTCTATTTACATAAAGGACCTAGGGTATTATAGTTTAAATATGGAAGAGACTTAAGCAAATAATAGCAATCTTGGATATTTGAAAACACCTTGCTATACATTCAGACGTCACCTGCTAGCAGCAGACCTCAAGTACAGGAATTTAGACAATAAAACGAAGGTTGGGAATTAATAGTTTCAAGGCATCCTGTCAGTTTTGTTGGGGGTCGGGGGGCATTGATGAATCTTACCTCTCTTGGTATAACTTTCATCATTTTTAATTATAGTCAGAAGAATGTCTACATGAGCAGCAGTGGGAGTTTCCCCCAAACTGGTGCTACTTCAACAATGCTTTTATGTTGACATGTCAATAGTTTAGAGCCTTGCTCCTTAAAGTGTGAACCAGCAGCAGTGACATCCCCTGGAAGCTTGTTGGAAATGTGGAGTCTCAGCCTGCTCTCCAGATCTGCTGAATCAGGGGCTGCATTTTAACAAAATCCCCAGGTAATTTGTGTGCACATACGTTTGAGAAACATAGGTGCAGACTCTGCTGAGAACACATTAGTAAGCAATGTGAAACATATGATTGAAGCAGGTGTGTTTAGATTATGGAAACCATGGAAGAGATATTAAAACATGGTGAGTTCTTATGTGCTCACTGCCCTGCCCATTAACAGCTCAGCATCAGCCCTTGCCCAGACCCCTCTTTTAGGCTTGCTGAGTCTAGCTGTATAGGAGTTTATCTTTCCCACTGGATCATGAGTTAATTGAAGACAGAAATAAAAATCTGTCTCTCTGACTTCTAGCAAGTGTTGGCAAAGAGCAGGTGCCCAATAGTTGTTGAATAACCACTTTTATTTGCAGCAAGCATTTAAGCATTGTACAATTGAATAAGAATAAGACTTTCTCCTTGGGGAGAGATAGATAAGAAATCAATCAAGTGGAAGTAAAGGTTACTGGCGTTATGGGAGAAAGATGTACAGGTAGAGTGGGGACCCAAAGGATGGAGTAATCACTTCTATCAGGCTGTGGGGTGGTGGTGGTGGTGCTGCTGGTGCTGGTGGTGATAGTGGGCTGACTAGAGGAAATGACACAATCTAGGTTTTGAGAGCCAGAAAAGGACATTTACATAGTGGAAACAGTTTGAATAAATGCTTGGTGTCGTGAAACAATATGGTAGGTTCAGGGACCTGCTAGGAGCTCTGCATGGGTATCATGTAAATAGGCAATTTTGGAAGAAATAGAAAGAAAATACTAGAAGAAAATACTTCTACTCTGAATGACAAATCTTCCCCTGAAATGTGAGATTTGCTCTAGCACTGAGCGGTATTTCCCAAAAAGATCCCTTCTGGGGAATGTTCTCTAGAAGATCACAATTCAATCTCATTTAGATATACTATTTTACCCCCTTGAATCTGTCCATTCAGGTTAAAGTGAAGATAACCATCCAGTTAATTTGTTTAAGGTAGAAAAATAGTAATTCTTTGAAGATTTCTGAAGGACCTTGTTCAACTATTAATAATTTCAAACTCATGCCTCTTATGTAAACTTTGACTTTATCCTGTAACTCCATGAAATGATGGGGGTACAGCAGGGATGAGCCAACCATTTTTGCTCTATTCATGATCAAGACTTCTCAGTGCATTTAAATTGATTATTTTAAAAATCTGCATCTACTATTATGAAGCCAGAAGAGTGCTTTGGTAAGCTATGATGTGGTTTGGTCTTTGTGGATAGGTAGACACAGCTGTAACTCACATTACAATTCCTCATCATTGAGAAGTAGAATTGGGCCTATGAACCTCAGAGGTTGAAGTTTCTAAACTATGGTTCTGATGACTGATTTTCAAAGAGATAGTCATAAATTAGAAGGGCTATTTATAGCTTATGGTTGAACCCAATCAGCTAAGGGGAAGAGTTAGAAAAAAAAAGCTATCTCCTCTACAGACCTTTTAATTGTTAATACTGAGCTGCTCCCCTGTTGCTAGATAAAATCACAACTCTCATTTATTAGCATTTGGCCAGATTAGCTACTGTTTTCTAATTAGAACATTGACTTCTGGGGAGCCTAGACACTGAAAGAGGTAAGTCTTTAGTGACAGATGTAAAGGGTTAAAGTAACAACCCCCTCCTTAGACAACAAGATATGTTTAGGGGTCACTTCAAGGGCATGCTGGCCCTTTTTTATGCCACAATGGACTACTTTAACACTCTATCATGAACTCAGAGTTTGGCCAGTGACAGAATGAAATGTCTCAGTCTTTCATCACTGGTAGTCAAGGAGACAATATGAGTCCAAGACTTTGGACAGGGAGTGTTATTAAACATCATTAAGGTTGCACTAAATGGTCCTCCCATAATAGCTACAATATTGGAAAATGAAAAACCAGCCCCCACCCCCCAAACCACTGTCAGCAACCTCAGTGGCATAACACAATTCAGTAAACTTCAAAACGTGGTCCCCCCAAAAGATGAGGATTATGGGGTGGAGGAGAGAGGCACCATGGCTCAGCTCCTAACCCTAACCATCAGGTCTTCAGAAGCCCTACTGTCAATTCAACACTATCCTGAGATTTCTCATTTGTATTTCAAAATCTGGAAAGAAACAAACTGAATTAAAATGCTGGTATTTTCCTTGTTCTGACTGAATAGAGGACACAATTGTGGAGAAATGGGTGAAAAAAGGTCTTCACCTTTAAAGAGGTAGAGATTCTGGGACTACAGTGGGAAAATTATACAAAGCTTGAAAGTTATTATCCCATGAGAATGAGATATACCTTCAACTAAGTTGCATGGATTCTGGAGTGATAAATTTAACAGAATCTTAAAAGAAAGAGTAGAGCCAAGTATTGTAAGATAGATTGCTATCTCTTTAGCCAATTTTCTTTTCCTACTCCAATCTTTCTCAGGGTGCTCAAGAGTAGATAGAGTGACATACATTGGTCTCAAACTGATGTTCAGTGGAGAAATCAAACTAGTCTTAGATTGGGAAGAGTCAAGATTTCATCTATATTATATTAGAGCAAATAGAACACTTGGAGAAAAGTTACGCAAGTATGAATAAAAAGAAAAGAAGCAGTGAGGAAAGGTGAGGGTGAGAGAGAGGGAGGGAAGGAGCAATGTAGGGAGGGAGAGTGACAGTGAGAGAGAGAGAGAGAGAGAGAGAGAGACAGAGAGACAGAGAGACAGAGAGAGAGAGAGAGAGAGAGAGAGAGAGAGAGGAAGAGAGAGAGAATATTAAACAATAATACATAGAAGAAAACAAAATTAAGAAACATAAAGAATTTTCTCACAATCTTTTAGAAGATGACAAACCTAAAGAGACAAATTGAAGACCAAATTATATCATCATGGAACTAAAAATAAATTATAAACTGTAAGAAACAGAATAGATGCTGCTAAAAATAAACTTAATGACAGAAGAAAAGCTTGAGATAAAGAATATACCAATAAAACAGGTGAAAATATTTTAGGTTATTTAGAGAGAAGCTAATAGTTATGAATGACAAGGATGATACAACACAAGGATAATTAGTATTCTTAAAACAGAGGATCCAACAAATGAAACAGAAGATATATTCATGACATAATGTAAGGAAATTTTACCAAATTGAGAAAAAGTTGAATTTATACATTGAAAGAGCAATCTGCTTAGCGTGTTACAGAATTCTACGCTTGAAACCTATGTAATTTCACTATCCATTGTCACCCCAATAAAGTTTAATTAAAAAAAAGAAAGAGCAATCTGTGCTCCAGGGTAAATTGATGCAGAATGCTCATTGTCTAAGAGCTTTAATTAATTAAGCTATTTGAATTTAAGGATAAAGAAATCATACAGACAGAAAATGCAAATTAAAAACAGGGAGGAAATTGTCTGTCTTCAGACTTTTCCACAGTGCCACCCAATGGCAAAACACAGTCAATTGATATTTATATAGTCTTGAGAGAAAGAAAAGTTGACCCAAGAGTACTGTGCAGAGCTAATATTCTGCAAGTATAAAGGCAACCAACATACGTTTCAAACATGAAGCATCTCAGGGAATACAGTAGCCATCAAAACCAAACTACCTGAAAAGTGATATCAAGATAACTATGGGCTGAATGAAACAAAGAACCCAGGAACAGGGACTTTGTGGTAAAAGTGGTAAGAAAAATCCATATAAGTATAAAAACGTTTGGGAATTGTAGTAGTAAGAGAATGAGTATGAATTTTAAAACTTGGTAATATAAAAACAATAATAATCCTAAGAAAAATTGGACATCAGGGAGGAAAGAATGGAAGTGCTAATGTTTTCTTGTGTTGATCTCTCTTAGTTAATTGACACCACCTAAAATTAAAACATAATTTAAAA